CGATCCCGGATTCCAACCTAGTGAAGACAGTACGTGCCTTACATCGCTCGGCTGCCGTGACCGGCAAAATTATTATACGCTATTCTATATTCATACTTCTAGCTCTGTACGTTCCGTGTTACACATCTGTGAATACGAGTACATACTGAGCAGGAATGCTGAGGGTGAATTGTGGTAGTACTGCTTACTGTGGTGGGAGAAAATGCTCTCAGCAAACATCGAAAATATACATACTGTAAAATAGCGTTGCAATAACTCTTGTGCTTCTGCGACAACCTTATTATTCTGCTAACTGACTACGGATATGTGCAAGCGCAAGGAATTTTCTTGGGAATATGTATTCATACAAAAATGCGCTCTAATAATACATATTTTCTGTTGATCTCAACAAACAGTGTGACCTCAAATATTCTGGCATACAACGATGGCCTCGACTTGAATAAATGAATGTATAAGGGGTGGGCCTTCTCGGCCCTTGCACCGCGACCTACGGAGGTCTATTGTGCTTATGGCCTGGACTTAGTACTGTTCGAATGACAGACGTCATGTCAGGGATTCACATTTGGGTTCCTTGATATTTTATTCACCAACCATCTACAGCAGACCCTCGATATCAAATGGGTGGGGGCGACAATATACAATGACTAAAACATTTCATAGGAACTTTACGACCTAAAACATATGTAATTATATTGGGGGACATAATCAAGACCGTGGTATAACGAAAACCTACTGCACTTGTTTTACGAGGGCTGGAACTTTAATAGTGGCAACACTGCTGTAGAGACGCCATGCAACGGAACCAAATAATGTCGCTTATGCCACACGTTAGTTACATACCTACCTTACCTCAGGACAAATTGACTCTCCCTTCCCACATCACGCGCATGCGCAGTGGCGAGAAGAATAGAGCCCCGTGTTAGCTGGCGGTCTAATGTAGTGTTGTCACTGTTTTCGAAACAGGAACGGAGTTCGATAAAGATTGAATGTGCCAGAGGCCGCACAGCACGACAGTGTCATCAAGGTCTTCAAGAGGCTTGCGAGGAATCTGCATTGCCTTACAGAACAGTGGAAAGGTGGGTAAAAGCCTTCAACGAGGGACGCCAAAATGTGGCAGACATGCGTCGGCCAGGTTGTCCTAGTGTCAGTGAAGAAGTGTATGCTCTTTCCGCGTTACTGGAGAGTGATCGACGCCATACGATTCGTGAGCTGGCCCGAGAGACAGGATGAGCGCATACGACTGTGCTTCACATTCTGAAGGAACGCCTGGGCATGAGAAAAATTGCATCATGATGGGTTCCGCCTGATTTGACGGAAATGCAGAAATGGCTACGATACGACGCTGCTCATAACCACTTGGAGAGCTATGAGAGCGAAGGAGAGGCTTTCTTACGCCGTATCATTACCATGGATGAGACATGGGCCAAATCATACTCCTACGAGCCACAAATGAAACGCCAATCGAACGAATGGCGTCATTACGGGTCACCACGAAAATCAAAAGTTCGTCAGAATGTGAAAGGTGGTGATTCTCGTGCACGACTGTGATGGTGTTATCCTAACGCATACCGTTCCCCGACAGCAGACCGTCGGTACGCAGTATTACTGTTCATTTTTGGAACACAACCTGCGACCAGCTTTGAGAAAGAAGCGGTGACACTTTCTGCAGAACCCACCCATCATTTTGCAGGATAATGCTCTGCCGCGTGCAGCGCAAGCTGTGGCTGATTTGTTCGATCGATGGGGTGGGAACTGCTGTACCATCCACCATACTCCCCGGACTTAAGACCTTGTGACTTCGACTTGATTTCTAAGATGATGGAACCACTTCGTGGCATTCGCTTCAGAACTGTTCCAGGGGTTCTACAGGCAGTAGACCGCTCCATTCGAAGTATCAACACAACAGGCGCTGCTAAAGGTATCCTACGGCTTCCACATCGCTGGCAACGGGTTGTACACAACGCTGGTGACTACATTCAAGGACAGTAAAACTTCGAAACATGCATCTATTTTGTATCAGTTGTAAATAAATGGTTGCCACTATTAAAGTTGCAACCCTCGTAAATAAAAAAGCAACGTTTCTCGCTGTGTAATAAATATGTAACCAAAATGAAACAAAATAAACTGCAGACTCCTTGAAGTGTCACTGGCATTGCAACAGCAAATTAACGTCAACGCCGATGATGCCTTCAAAATTTAAAATCAAACGTTAAGTATATACGTTTTCTCCATTCATTCGAACCATTCTAATCCCATTTTAAATTAATTACCTTGCTGGTATTACTGGTAGGCTATAAATCGAGAAGTCAGCCGGTACATAATGTTATAGATTTCTCATTTAATCCATCTCGCTTAAATCCCGAACTTTTCTTTTTCCTTCATACCCAATTTATGTTTAACAGTCATACAGATCCCCGCTCTAATCTGATCTTCTGATGTTACGAATGGAGACAGGACAGCAGCTCATAAATAAGGAAATCTTCAGTCTAGTCTTCATTTCGAATTCCATTGTGAAATTTACTTTTTCTTGTTATTTTTCTTTCTTTATACTGAAACATGAATATTTCAAACAGTTTATTATCAATTGTTAAACTATTACAATTAGTTAAATTTTGATTTACATTCCATTTCCATAAAAATGTGTATAGTTACCGTTCTTTCTGCATCATACTTAAAGCTATGTAAGGTTAGGTAGTCCCAATTACCGAGTCTGCTATCATTACATTCAGTCTTGCACCCCTCAGATGTCACTTGAGACGTTCCACTCGATCTAATTGCAAGTAACAGTTTCAAATTACGAATGTTTATAGCAACCTCGTTACCCGACCCAACAACTAATGAAGGAAAGGAAAGGAAGAGACGCAGAACGGACCTTGTTCGTTATTGAAATTTCAAACGAAAAGTAGGACCAGATTTACGACTGATAAACTGCAAGTTCCAATCAGTAACGCTGCTTCGTGAAAGAAGTCCTCGAACGAGAATTTTATTTTCAAATTTTGCATTTTTTTTAAGATTTCCCTTATGTTACAAAGAAAGACAGTCTCGCAGGTCCGTGTGTCTGCCTAGCCGTAATAACTTTTAAAACAGTTTTCGTGTTATCTGAAATCACGGTATTAAAGGCCACCTTAACTTTGTAACTTTAATTTCTTTCTACGAATAGCGCCAACATGGCGATTGTGTGAATTTGTAAAGCGAAAGCGACATTAGAGACTCTTAATGCAAGGCCCTGAAACTTTATGCGATAGGGTAATAAAGTCGTGGGGGTCACGACGAACGAGATGAGAGAAGCACGATAGATGTTGGTCGGATAATCAGAAGGGACTAGATCACTACATAGACACCGGAATATACTGGAAAATAATAGAGCACAAGAAATATACACGTAGTTGCAGATTTGAAATTTTGTATCTCAATCCTGACTCCCTTTCCTACTGAATGTGGGTATGTATGCCTCTAAATATAAGGTTTATTCTGACAAGTGGTGAGATGTCCATGACGCAGAATAAAAAAAAAGTTCATTTTATACAAGTATTTACAGGTCGTGCATAGTTTAGACGGTCAGACTCTTGTTTCTAATCGCAGAGAATCAGGTGCAATCCCAGTGCATTTCACGTAACCTTATGACGGACACAGCAACAATGGCGCAGACTTCTCTCCCACCTGAAAACTTCGTTTTATCAGTGACACTCATTTTCCAGGAAAGCTCCACACCCTCCTTCCATTCCTCCTGGCCAGAGCGTTCTCACATGTTCCCACGGATCGAGCGGTCGCGCTTCCTTCTTCAGAGTAAATGTAAAAGTAAAATTGTTCCTGTACTTAATTAATTAGGCAGCGGCCTCCGTAGTCTAGGGGTAACGTTCCCGCCTCATGACTCGTGGTACGCGGGTTCAAACCCGGCGGAGATCGTGGAATTTTTAAGGGCGGAAAAATTCAGGGAACAAGTCCTCCGGGAGGGACTTTAAGCCGTGGGTCCCGTGTCGTAGCTTTACGGCACGTAAAAGA